AAACAAATAGTTGATTAGTCGATTCCGACTTGTCAGAAAGGCAAACTCTGATTGGCCGGACTGTACATCGGTTATAATCAGTATCCACTATCCACGGCGAAAACGCTGATTCCCCCACGGACTCATCTAGGCATGCTCTACGGATGATATTACAACTTAGCATCAGGTGGGCCGTCAACTTGTTCTCCATTCAAATTACGTAAAGAATACATTACGTAAAAAATTACCCATATGTAATATTTTAAGTGAATCGCCGGGTAAGAATGGAAGCCTAACTCAATTCTTTCCATCTATACCAAAATAGATCGGGCGTAAAAATAGATATCGAATATTCATTTATGCGAGTTATTTTTCATAAGCGATTAAATTTATTTCCAACTATGCTGACGCTCTGCGTAGAGTTGTGTGCAGTAGATTCATTTGACGTTTAACCTGAATACATAAACAATGGACAGCACATATTCACTTGAATATTAAATTACGGTGTGAATACCACGAGCTTAGATTAATGAAGTTGCATCAAGCAGTATAATTTCCCTTATACCTATAAGTACTTATAGTTGTATATCGTGGATCACTACGTATAACAAAAATCAACAGCAACAATCTCCGTAGAATAAAAGTATATTATGTAACAATAATCTTAAATTAACTGTCTTTTTTATTATTATTAGTAGCATATTTATGTATGAGTAGCATACTTGATAACACTCATACGTTGCCATTATACAGGACTAAGAAGCTTCTTATCATCTAATTTCACTGTCTTATCTCATACTTCAACAGAAACACAGCTCATACGAACAAAGCTGCTTAGCGGCTGAAAGCGGATAGTCTGAAGACCCACTGAGGCGACTTCTACAAAATTTACGTCGGTACTCTTTCTGAGATTAGTGCACACAGACAAACAGATAAAAGTCAATATTTTGGGTTATATTAATAATAATATCTCAAGACAATTCACGCAGCGTCATATAGTCGTAGAGTAAGCCTAGCTTGTGTTATGGGTACTAAACGACTCATATAAATACGTAAATACATACATAATAAACATGGGAAACATCCATACCGATACAAAAACTCATACTCATTAATACAAATGTTTGTACCATACGAGGAATCGAACCTGCAACCATAGTAAGTAAGGCGAGTAAAATCTCTAGACCACTAGGGCCGTTAAAATATTATGTTGATAAAGCCCCTCAGTCTTTCTCATATAATAAATAAATAAATGAATATATCTTCCATATACAGACAGACAGCGATTAGTTATATTTTTATTATATGTATAGATATGGTCTATCCATGTATCAAATTTTATTCCAGTCTGTTCAACATTGTGTAACAAAAATCTTTATAAACTTCCGCATTTATATAATAAAAAATAGGTAGGTATGTCAGTATAGACTTCAGACTGTTTTAATTAGGAAGGGTATTCTTCAATCTAACATGAATAATTACATAAATTATAAGTCTTCACAAACAAAACACTTCATAATTAAACTGTTTCTAGTAAATTATTCCCAAGGGATAGGTTACATGAAGGTATTCATTTGTTTAATAATTAAATAAATAAATAATCTTAACAGTTAACACAGCGCCATCTAGTACCACGGTAAGCAGAGTTTGTGTTATGGGCACTAAACTATGGATATAAATACTTAGATTTTTTTTTGTAAATACATGCATAATATGTATAGAATTACTTTACTGTAACGAGTATGTAAATAGGTGCTCAATATATATAGTTGCCACCTCCAATTTTTTTTATATTTCTTATGCCCACCTATATTTTTATGTTAATTGCAAAACCAAACAATTTGACGGTACCTGATGGTGAGTGGTAACCGTGACCCATAATATTAATAAATTCACTCTACATTCTTCTTCTTTGTCTAACCCATGTTCCCAGTTTATCGGGTCACTCTCTATACATTTGCGAGAGAGAACTCTGTTTTGGATTGTCTGAGCATTAAGGTTCTATATATATATTAATACATTCCTAAATATATATTATATATTTAGGAATATTGTAATTACTCAAATTCGAGCACTGTCATTGCCCGCTAACTCTGAACTACTTCTAAACCACCTCTATCACAGCGTTAATGTTGGCTAGAACAGATAAGTCCACCCTTGCTCGCATTTTTGTATAACTACCTATTTTTTAATATACAACCTATACACATGAACTGCAACACTGACATCACGTCATCACATGACGCCCGTGATACCACTCATGCGTTGCTATTTCGGAGAATCAAGATCAAGATGTTATACCTCCACATCCTGTATTTGTGTTTCACTGCGTTATCTCATCCTTTAATCTACTTTATTAATCAGTAATATATTTAATCAGGTCTAAATACGAATAATTTATTACTATATTTACCTCTCACGTTTGATTTGTCGACTAGGCTTCAGTATCCTAGTCATGAGCTGACTCTGAGAAAGGACTAGAGATAAATGTCTTAGTTACCATAAAATTATTCCTGTTAAGACCCGATTCACTATATTAATTGCAATAACAACAAAATAATATTTATTATGTACGACGTTTTAGCTACTTATGATGTCAAGATTTTTGTAATATTAAATATTATTTCGCTATCTTAAAAAGGATTTAATTACTTTAAATAACTAACTTGTAAAAGAGAGCGTTTATTTTAATTGTTATCTTTTTTATGTATTAAGCAACATTTAAGCAACCTATGCAAATGAATAACATTAAAGAGGCTATTTGTCAAATTAACAGCGCTTTACTAAATGTATATAAAAGTATATGGTAATTACATCAAAAATGTATTTAAAAAAAATGCCTGCGTGTTTATTCTAAATTACTAATCTCTAAGAAAAGAAGACTTTCTCTCGAAAATAGCTAATGCTATAAGGAATGATTTAGGCCACTCTTGTTTTAGAAAATAATTTAAAAAAAGTTAAAATCCACGCGGACGAACTGCTAGTAACAGCTTAGAATAAAATATTTTACCTCCTATAAGTCAATTATTAAAATTTATTTTTTAAATTCTTAGATTATTCAGACGATGTAATCGCAAAATTTCTACTTGTTTATAAAGATGTATTATAAAATTTTATTACTCGAAAAAGTTTACTTTGCAATTATAGGAGTTATAAAACGGGCTACGCTCCCAATTCTATACATACATGATAAAATCTATAATGAGGAAGTTGGGAGATATCCAAAACACGGTTTAATCTTCATTGCCCCAACAATGTGTAAACCGAACTCAAAATAAAGAAGCGATTACATAAAAACGCCTGTTTTCCTTTGTGGTAGACTGCATGTTTAGAAATTCTGTACAATGAATGTTCTGCGTCACTTTGTCGCATGCTGGGTTTAAACGGATATGTGATGGTAAAATACGATGTTTGCGGGGATGTATGTGGATGGTATAACGAGGAATAAGGGTTGTTACATACGAAGATTTTAATTATATTTTTTCCTTTAAAATAGCTGCTAGATGGTAATTGTCTGAGTTCGCTTTTTAGTTGTGTTATGGAATGTTTGACTGTTTTGAGGCAATGGCATACAGATGATAAGATGTGATAAGTTCATGTCCTTTAGCCCGCTATGACAAATTCACTAATACATTATTAACAAACTTCCTTTGTCTTGACAAACTCACACATAAGGGTGAGAATGGTATTACTATACATATATTGACTGATAAACCCTTTGGTAATAATGTATCATGTCAGCTTGCCCTCCACATGGTTAAAATATTTTAATAAATTTCTAATAATTTGATACAATGGACTAACTGACTTAAGCTTATGTTTATGTTATCATATTTCATTGGTACCCTGTGCCAACGTAAACCATTAGCGCAGGCGGGTGCACTATTTTTTATTAATAATAATAATAGATAGCTACATTGATCAGATTTTTGGCATTTCTTTTTATAAACACTTTATGACAATCTTACTACTTAATGATTTGTTTTTTGCTTTTGTTTTATTAAATATTTTATCTTCGCTTATCACGTGTATTAGATTGAACATTGGATTTCATAGCTGTTTATTTAAAATATTTATGAAAGAAGAGATTTTTTTTTTTTATTTGTAGAATAATCGAGAATCATTCATGCCCTAATATCACTTGTCTTTTAATCAATGAAATAAAAATATAAATACCATTTTAAAATAAATTTGCTATTGTAATATAGTTCTCTAGACGAAGGATTTCGGTACAATGAACATGATCCTTCTTTGAAAGAGAAATTCTTTATACAAAAAGTGCAATCCATCTTGCAGTGGCACTCAAGATTAGTGCCATACAGTCATAAGCGGATGCGCGCTGAATATTTCTGTTTGTGTATCTCGTCTGAGAATACATTTATCTACAGCTCTATAAATAAAATTAAAGTTTATTTTTACTATACTAGCAATTACCCGTAATTTGATTTTTTTGAGATGTATTCACGTAGACCTACTGACCACTTAGGTGTTCTGAAATTTGACATGTTTTATAAATGTCAAATTTCAATAAAGTCAAATACCATTTTGTAGCTTATATATGAAATTGTAACAATCAAACAGATAGACACTGTCATTTATAATACTAGTATGGAATGTTAACCGGACCCAGCTTCAGATGGGATGCATATTAACAGATTAGAAACCTAACGTAGCTTCACAAGAATGGAAATTAACACGTAAAGGAGATACACCTACACAGATGCAAGATAAAAACTCAGAATAATTCCCTGTACCAAATCGATTATCCAGCATAATAACAGTATGCTAAATCTTTCTCTTATAAAAAAAACTCAGAAAACTCTAAATAAACAAATTCTATGCCAAGTCACCTGGTCAGCATAATAATAGTTTGTTAAACCTTTCTGTTATGGAGAAAATTTTTGGTCAGTAATAAAATATTAATGTGCTGTATTTATATATTATATATATTGTTATGATGACAAATCAAAGTTAAGTCAATATTAGATACATATCGAGATTATATTCTATAAAATCTACCACTTAATTATATTTATTACTATTACTATCCATCCTTTTAATACGCAAACAAATGGAAACATGCTAAGCCCAATGCTAGTTTCAAGTGGGACCGAACCGGGACGCCACAGTTTTCAGCACTGAAACGATTCTGACGGCTGCTTCCATAGGCGACGCACGCTTACCCGCATCAGAACTACACGCAAATACGTAGCACTAATACAACTGTAATAAAAGTATAATATATTATAATAAAACTAATTAAATAATACATGAGATAGTGATGTCCCTTTTAGAAAATTTTGTGTAAATGTGAGTTGTAGTGCTGTGTGGATACAATTGTAGTTAATTGACGAGAAAGTTTTCTACAAACTGTACTAGAGGATATTAAAAAACTTCTTCAGCTTTTATGTGAGTATTATTAAATTATTATAAATAATCATTCTTATATCAATAATACAACTGAAAGTTAATATAATCTTATAATGTGGTACTTAAATACATTATCTTCATAAACAATAAATTTAATTTAATTTATCTCACTGTTGTTTTTTAAATTTGGAGTTATATTTACATTGAATATAGGATATGTTAAGAACAAGAAAATAAATAAATCTTTTGTAGAACTTTATAAATTTTTTATAACTTTGCAAAAATCAGTAAAATATACTGAATTAATATAGTACTATTTTTATAGTAGATATCTCAATTATTTACTAAAAATGTTGATAAAATAACATGAATCGTAATATGAAATATTTAACATGATTAAAAATAATATAAATTTTTTAAATCGGTATTACTTTGCTCAACATTATATACCTTATTTTTATTTGAATTATTCGATGCCGTATTCCCATAAAAAATCTTAGACTGTATCATAACTTAATATCAGGTAAGATTGCTGTCAACACGCTTAAGTTTTAGATATATAACTATATGCATATTATTACGTAGTGGTAGATAAAAATCAAATTGTTATGACTATTCAAAAGTGCTTAAATTAAGTTTATTTGAACAAATGATTTTCTATTCTATTCTATGTTTTATATTTCTAGGAATACAATTGACTGATATGAATGAAATTCTAAATTTAAAATGCACGCACATGCAATCAGTCCCACAAAAACTAGTAATTTTAATATATTTTATTCCATTCCGCGTAAGTCCAAGAACCAATAACCCAGTTTTCTACTCATAAGTATCTATATTTGTATCTCAGCACGGGTTGACACAAGAGGATCTTGTTGGGGTTTTTGACTTGCAAAATTGGATCCCTCACGGGATATACTTACATTTGTGCGTCGACAAAGAGGAAAATTATGTTTATTGATACATTTCTTATTGGGTTTCCTATACATTTGGTATTATGATGTTCCGTTTGATTGTCTGCTCGGAAGGGACGGGTTGCAAAAAGAAATTGTTACTAGGAATAGTCCCAGCTGAATTAGATTTTTTTATAAAAGTACGGTTTTATAAATGTACGGACGGGAAAAACTATTTTTCTTTGTGTTTAAATTGTGTGAATATAGGACTGTATATATATGGGGCTGGTAAATATAATTATGCAAACACGGGTTTTAGGAAGCAATAATATAATATTATGTACAAAAGTATAATAATTCGCCGAACAAGAATGACAATGACAAAATATTTATTTTTCTATATAAAATAATAGACAAAATACATAAATAATAAACAAAGAGGTGCGTCGTGCACAAATTGTACAAAAACAAAGTCACTTTAGTCAAATTATTATGTAGGTACTCAGGTTGATTAGAAATGTTTCTTGAATTTAGTATATACTATTGTCCAACTCCACTACTTATGTACTACAATTATTTACAATAGATTATATACTAAATTTAATAAAATTATGTATTATATAAGAAGTATTTGGTAAATTTTTTGTTCCGGTCGATACATTCCGGTTAATTGGATGTAATAAGGTGTAAAAAATATTTTTTGAGTCAGTGCAAATTGTGTTATAAGAAAATAGAACTAACGCACCAATTTGATAAATTCTATCACCAGAGGTACTTTATTTCAGAGTACCATGTATATATATTGTGTTAATAATATATACAAAACACACTGTTATATAAAATCTTTAACCCGTTTTTATGGGTTTCAAGTTATTAATTAACTGATGAAATATAAAAAATAATTAAAAGAAGCTTTATTGTTCTTAGCGAAACACAAAATTACGTTAATAATTGTACACTTATATTTGGCAATATTAATAATAAAACAACTTTTTATTGCGTGCTAAAAAAATAAACACACAAAAAATTTGCATATAAATATCTTAAATAAAAGGCGACCTTATTGCTAAAACTAATTTCTTCAAGACTACTTTTATATTTTTAATAATACATTGCATAAATTTATTTATTTATTACAATCAATGCTGTGAGGATCTGGTGTCTGAAATAGTTATACGGTTAATACAGATCATTTTATATATAGTTTTAACTAATATGTCAACATTGTGTATAATAAAATAATTAACTAAAATAATATTATGTTTAAAACACAGAAGCAACATTTCCATTGGCTTAAGGCTTAAGTTATAATATAAATCGTGTAAATTGTACTTGTAAAAGGGAAATATTAGTCTCCACGCGGCCCATTTAAAGTAACGTTGGGAGTTAAAAATAATGTGTTGGCGCCTTAACAATGAAGACTTAACAAAACCTGCAATTTATATTACACGTTTTATATTTACAGTTTGCACTTATAAAATTATTACTTAATAACTGAGATATTTTTTAATAGTTTTTTATCTATTATTTTACATTCTATAATAAATATCTGTATAATACAGCTATAATGTCCATATAATAAAAATCTAAGCGATAGTCATACATATGAGAGATATATATATATATATATATATATATATGGCAAAACAATATTATTGAGGGATTTTTTGAAGGTGATTAAACCGAAAACAATATTTATTTGTATTATTTTCCTTTATGCGTGCTAATTTCAAAAAGGGCTTAATCGATTCGGGTTTGTAATTTTCCAATTTTGATAAACGTCGTTTAAAATTGTGTGTTTGTTTATACTAATTTGTTTATAACAAAAATAATTATACACATACGAAGTTGTGGGTTCAGCTAGTTTTAATTTTAGCCCTTAAGATTATATAAGATTAAATGAATACATAGACAGTTTCTTAATGTTGTTGAGATATATATCAAATAGCAAAATACTCTTTAAATAAAAAATATATTTTTAAATCTTACTTAAATTCAAATTCAAATTGAAATTCAACAATCATTTATTCATGAAGGACATTTTAGCCACTTATAAACGTCAAGTTTTTACATTATATTTTTTTTCCCTACCGTCCAGTTCGGTATATAGATCCAATTGAGAAGAACTGGCAAGAAACTCAATTGAATTACTTTTTTTTCAAAGCCAGTTTATTTACAATGTATAGGTATTTATGTCTAACATTAAGTGTAAATCCCGTACATGAACAACTATTGCCATGCACGCTCATCATTCAAGTAATCGTTTTTAGTGAGTAATAGGCTTTGCTCAGTAAATATGGTTTAACAGATGTTTTGAATTTATTTAAGGGTAATTCCAATATATCCTTTGGTATGTTATTGTAAATTTAAACAATTAAAAAACTTAAAAATTAATATTCTCCAAAGTTTGTAATTTTTTAATTAATCTATTATTGTATGGTATAATATGTTAATATATTATTCTATTTAAATATTACTATTTAATATGCTTGGTTTTAGTAATAATTTTCATTTATAAGTATATACAGATGAACAGCAGCATCTATATTTTAAGTAAAAATCTATATTTGTTACTAATTAATTGAATATCTTGAAATTTAGGTTCTTACTATAGATATAAAACACTCACTATAAAATATGTCATTTATTCTTTTTGACGTCTTCATAAATCTTTCATATCTTAAAAATCTGCTGAACAACATAATATATACCCATTCTTTTCCAGAATAAAAACTGCACAAATCAATATCATAAAATATGATAGTACGTATATTATTTCAGTAGAATTATTATGTAAGTAAGCAATTTTTTTATTGCGTTTGTGATAACTTTATTATTGCTTGTCTTGATTAAGTCATAACATGATATAAAAGATTTGTTTTACGTACTTACGCCCCATCGCATAAGACTGAGAAAGTCTAGAATAATGTAATGTATAATAACAATAATAAATAAATAATCTAGGACAATCACACAGCGCTATCTAGTCCCAGGGTAAGCAACTACACAACTGATATAAATACTTAGATACTTTCTTGTAAATACATACATCCATCCAGACCGATACAAACAAGCATACTCATAAATGTTTGCACCGTGCAATCAAACCCTCGACCATCCGAAGTAAAGCGGTGTCCTAAACCGCTAGACCACCGAACTCGTTGTATTTAATAAAATATACTATATATTCTTGTAACTGAAGGTGTTAGTGATACTGTTTATGAAAATAAATTATGATATTAACTTACGGTATATTTGAATTACTCTCATGTAACGTACATTTATCTTGAGTTAAGAAAGATCCCAACGTGAGGTGTCCGCAAGCGTATAAAATCTTAGCAATTATTTAGCAGGTTATGATAATGAATACAACATAGGTTAAATCTTACTTACAAATGCGGAAATTTGTGAGTGTGGATGAGTGTGCATGAATGTTTTTAATAAAACCTAAAGGTAATATAGATTACACATCAGAATAATACATAGGCTATAAATTTCACGCAGATGAAATCATGGGCACGGCTAGTAAAGAAAATTCTCTCACGATGAAATGATTCACCTCTACATTTTTTTATTGGTCACAAATTTCGTTACTGATCTGACTGATTATTTTATTTCTAATTTTAATGTTATTGCTCAGAATCAAAATAAGAATAGTAATAATAACAATTTATTAAGTTTTTGCACAATTACATTATTTTATTCGCCTACTGATAATCAGTATAAAAAATAAAAACGCGAAATATAGGTGATCTATTAAATATGTATATATGCCTGCCTAGGTGGTCTAGCGGTTTAACGGTCGTGAGTTCGATTCCTCGTATGGCATAAATATTTGTATTTATTATTATGATTGTTTGTATCGGTCTGGGTTTATGTATAATATGTATGGATTTACAAAAAAAATATGTATTTATATCAGTTATCTAGTACCCATAACACAAGCTTTAGCTAGCTAAACTTGGGTCTAGATAGCGTTGTGTGAATTGTCCTGAAATTATTATTATTATTATTATATATAATACTATTGTAACTCCGTATGATCAAATAATATTAGAATGTATTCACTGCGAAAGTTTTCCTAAGATTCCTAATATCTGTCTACATCACAAATTCCTTACGCAATCTTCTACCGATAGGTATTTG